TATATATATATATATATATATATATATATATATATATATAGTTAGATTTTGTTAACAGAAGTAGGTCAAAATAATAATAATGCTCAATGTGTATATTAAGATGTATATTAAGGTGTATATCAAGTGTGTGGTATTGGCCAACAGCTGCCCTGATTTCAAAAGATAGGCATTGGTTCAAGAAAGAAAAATAACATTCAGCCTCTAGTGACGACTAATATTACATTATTACCTTTAAAACCTTCAGGTGAAGACAGATTTGTTAATTGAACAAGTCTGCATGGTGATGCAATGCTTTGTTGCCGTATCACAAGGTTCAAGGTTCTTTATTGTCATTTGCATCACATGTGGTACATGAGGTGGAACAAAATTGTGCCCTCAAGGTCCTAGTTACACCCAAAAATAGCTAAAGTAAAGTATAAAAAAATAAAAGGCTCTAAGATATATGCTAAACAATAATAATGTAATATAATAAGGTACAGTATATTAAACAGCAGCCTGAACATGAGTTTGCTGTGAGCAGAGGGTTATGAATACAGCAGCTTAAAGACAAGAAATAAGCAGCATGGATAATCAGCAGCACAGATAAAGTGACAATCACCAATTAAAGTGGAATTACAGTGATTTTCCTGGTTATGGATTTATGAGTCTAACAGCTTCAGAAGAAGAATAAGAACAAGAAGGTTCCTGGTTTAAATATTAGTTGAGATCTTTCCGAGAGGTTTTTTACATATTATTTCTGTTTGGTGGGTTTTTTTCAAGATATTCTGTGTTTTTTCTTCAGTTCAACAATATGACTATTCAACTGGTGTGGCAGCCGCAGTGTTGGGGAGGTCATCTTCACGGGTTCTTTCTCTGTCTTGTGTCTGAAGTGTCCCTGCATGCCCATTGGTGTAGTCTACATTTTTGTAGTGGGTATACTGTGTTTAGAAACAAAAGTACACCAGTTAGTAAAATGTAATTGTTAATTTATTTTGATTTTTAAGCATATTGAACATTTCAACATTTCTCTGACGCTTATATTTGAATAAATGAACAACAAACTTTGTGGTTGGCTTTGTATTAAAATCATGTTATAGAATTTATAAAACAGTATCAAAGCAAAACATGTTCAAGTACAGAAGTATTAATTCAACAAAAAACAGGTTGAACCAACTCAATGTGTCTATAAAACGTTCCAGATGTGTTGACAATGACACGAGTCCATGTCATGCATCATTGCCAATGATATGTGACATGGGCTTGTGTCATTGGGCACTTTTAAGTGGGTGTACTGAAATTCCCAAGCTTTTCTAGTGGGTATACTCTGTATACCTGCGTATCACATAGACTACACCACTGCCTCTACCAATAAACCAGATTTACATACCAGTTGTGTGATTTCCTCATTTATAAGTTGCAAAATTATCTGACAATTGACAAAAGGTAATTAAAAATTGGCCTTATGGCTGTGTTCATTCATCCATTAAAGTTGTGGGTGCAGGACATTTCAGTACGCAGGGTGCTCGGTTCTTTTGGCAGGGCGGGGCGCCCTCCTTGTATAACGGTAGGGGAAACACTGGAGTTATATTAAGAATGTGCAACTATCTGATTGGTCTAAACATCTGGGGAGGTCCTTAAGGCCTCCCTTATAGACTTTTCAGGCTGGACACTCATGGGGACACAATACAATCCAATACAATTATAACAGCATCCTGTTGAAGGAAGAAACCCACCACCCCATATTTCTGTCGGATGACTCCCTTATACAGTAAGAGAAAGCTTTTTTACAGTTTGTACATGTGAGTTTCCCTGTTGATCAACTTATCTTGTGACTACCTCCTTGAATCAG